TGTGAATTCTGTGAATGTTGGGCTAAAGCCAAATTGCTAATCAGCATTTGCATTCATAGATGGTTTCACTTAATAAGTTGTGAGACATTCAGCAAATGTTTTAGGAAATTATGAGTTTTTAGATGCAGAAACTTCCTTTCTTTTTAACCCTTTTTTCTCATATGAGCCTTTGGATGCTTCTTAGAACCCGTAGACAAACACCCATTCTGGAAAGGTTAAATTTCAGCCAGACAAAAACCAGGAGAGTTAACATTTCAGGTATCATTCCCGTAGGAGTATTGGATTGTTTACAAAGCTACACACCCTGTCATAGATAGGATTTATAAGAATGAGCATAGTAACGTGCAAATTAGAGATGCTTCTATACAATTCCCACGCTTTTCAGTCGTAGGACTTAGACTCTTAAAAATTATTAGAGACCCCCCCTCCTGAATTTTCACATGGTTGGTTATATCCATCAATATTTATTATAATAGAAATCAAAGCTAGAAAAATTCAAAGTATTTGTTGATTTGAGAATGATAGCAAGCTATTACATGTTGACTTAAATAAATTTTTTCTAAAACCTTTATTTTCAAAGAAAACCCTCAAGATTTAGTGTGAAGAATGGCATTTCTTCACATTTTTGCACACTAACTTTGGGCACGATAGAAGTCAGCTTGATTCTCAGCTTCTTTGGCAGTTAGTTTGTTGTCATAGTAGTGAACTATGTGAGGAACATCTGGCCTCCCAGTTATGTCACCGGGAAGGAGAGGAGTACATTAGTAGCCTTTTCAGATAATTGTGCATATGTTTTTGATATTAGATCAGAACTTAACAGGCTAAAGTTTTGTAAAGGTGAGTTCAAAGTCAAATCTGAAACCATATCAGTAAAATTTTTGTGCTCTTATTTTTTAAATTCATTGGTGAGCCAGGTGCAAATGGCTCACATTTATAATCCTAGCTACTTGGAAGGCAGAACATGAAGGGAATTATGTTTGGAGGCCAGCCTGGGCAAAAAGCAAGATCCTATCTCTAAAAATAACCAACACAGCCCAGCGTCGGTGGCTCATGTCTGTAATTCTAGCCACTCAGGAGATGGAAGGATCATGGTTCGAAACCAGCCCGGGCAAATAGTTTGCAAAACACTATCTAGAAAATACTCAACACGAAAAGGGCTCATGGAGTAGCTCAAATGATAGAGTGCCTGCCTAGCAAGCGTGAGACCCTGAATTCAAACCCCATTGCCACCAAAAAAAAAAAAAAAGCATTGGTCTAGTCTGCACAGTGACTAGGTCTTACACTCCACATGCTTTTGTAATATGACGCATTGATCATTTCCAAAGTTTTGGTTCACTGAATTGGGTATATCTTCCAAATGTTAACACTCTTCATGACATTATCAAATGTATTTATTAATATCAACACTGAGCTAATCAGAAAGTCTACAGGGAAACTGTCAAACTCACAGTATGATGCAAGTTTTCCAAGATTATAATTTCCACTAGAAAACTAAAATTTTATCATTGGCACAAGTTCTTCCAACTGTTCTTTTGTACATGACAGGTTTACTTAGTTCATTTTTGAGAAAACACCTGCCAAATACCCAACTCCATATATCATAATTCATTAATTTTGTTTTCAAGTAAAATTGGTATTCTGTGAAAAGTGACTTTAGCTCAGAATTGACGCATACAAATGGTTTTTCTCAGGGCAGTCCTTTGATTGTAGTAGAAGTAGTTTTTATGTGCTTCGCATTTTGTCATACACATATTAAAGACATAATCAAGGATCTATTAAGAGTTGTGATGTAATAAGATGAATGATTCTTTTTCTTTTTGGGGAGGAGGCTGCACAGGGAGAGGTTTGATCTCAGGACCTTGCACTATCTATCACTTGAGTCCCCAGGACTTTTTGCTTTAGTTATTTTTTGGATAAGGTCTTGTGTTTTTGCTTGGGCTAGCCTCTGAGTTCAATCCTTATACCTGTGTCTCCCCTGAGGCTGGGATTACAGGAATGAGCCACCATCCCCAGCTTGTTGAGATGGGATCTCGCATACTTTTTGCCCAGGCTATCCTCAAAACATGACTCTCCTAATTTCTGCCTCTTGGGTTCCTGGGATTATAGGCATGAACCACTGTGCCTAGCTAAGATGAATAATTTCTAATGCTTCACAAAGGACATTCCTAAGTGAAACTGCCTGTGTCTTTATGTGAATGTATGATGGTGATGAATATAAAAAGTAAATATATATGTACTGGTTTCCCAAAGAGGTTTCTTAGCCCATTGGTCCACAAGATGTTCAAGAGCTATGCCGGCCCATGCATTAGCCACTAGCCCTAGCCACAGGTAGCTTTGTCTGAATTAAAAAGATGACACATAAATGGAAAATGAAGGCTTGATTTGAAAGAGTACGAAGGAAGTGAGAAATATCTCAGCAGTAGATATATTTTAATGTTGATTGTGTGTTGAAAAGTTTTTCATATGTTTTGTTAAATAAAATACATGGTTAAAGTTAATTTCACCGGATTCTTTTTCACGTTTGTGCTGCTCCTAGGGAATTTCTAGTGATCACATGTGGCTCACTACATAATTCTAGTTGGTAGCACTACCCCAGAGATCAAAGGCTTTTTGGCCAAATTTGAGTAAAGTTAGATCATTTATTTCTCCTTGAAGATTTAGTATGCATATTAGAATAGAAATACTGAGGAGTCCTGCAAAAAATTTTTTTATGATTTTGGTGAAGCTATCAGTTTCCAAACATACAATACTTTTGGACCATCTGTTAAGATTCTATAGAACTACAGAATTTGCTGATCCAATTTGGAGAAGCAGTTAACGTTCAGCTTTTTTCATTTTTTTCTGATGAGAAAACCGAAGGCTATGGTTGTCATAAAGTTTGGAAGCTATGTAAACGTCTTCTTAGGGAAAGTTTGAAGAATATATATGTACATACCTTTCTTGGTCAGGTAACCAACTGTTCTCAGCTTGGCATAAGACAGCCAAATTGATAACACAGTGGGAAAGATCTTAAATTTGCTTTTTAAATTTTTGATTTCCTTGAAGGCAGAAGAACTTCTCGTTTTAATCTACAAAATTCCTTAACATTTTACTATATCATAACAAGCACGATTATTAACTTGTTCTGTTTATATGCTGAGAGTCTGAAAACAGATTCTCCTCTCAGAAATATACGTGTGCACACAATTTGTATAAGATTTCAGCGGGTTCCTGATACCCTGAACCTATCCATGGATGACAGGTTATGAATCCTTCACTTAGGGCTCAGGGGTTATAAATTTACAGATATTAACCAATTTTACTCATTCCTGATTTAAAGTACAAAAGTCCACCAATCTGTAGATGTTTATTGGATAGCTACTGTGTGTTTTGCACAATTCTATACTCTAAAGAATCCTGTAAGTGTGATGTAGGGTTGCTACTACTCACAAAGAACTTAAAATTTAACTCACAAAGAACTTAAAATTTCTTAAGATTTAAGATGGATAGAGTGACTCAAGTGGTAGAGCACCTGCCTAGCAAGCTCAAGGCCCTGAGTTCAACTCCCAATACTGCCAAAGCAATTTTTTTCTTAAGATTTGGAACATGTTTTTTAAGCTTCAAAAAAATAGTAAACAATATATATTTTTATTTACCTTAGATAAATTTATTACAGAAAAGCTCTGTAAAAGCTTACAATACATGCAACGTATTTGCAAGGTTGGCTCTGATGAGCAGTTAGAAACCCATCACATACTGTCCATGAGCAATGCTGAGGACATCTGGGAAGTAGGTACTATTACAGCTTCAAAATGTGCCTTGCCTTCACCCATGATTGTTTTGTCTGCCTTCCCTACCAGGGTGTCTGTGAAGTGAGACAGACTCCCATGCTGAAATGCCAGGTGTCCATTTTATTCAGGAGTATAAACCGAAGCTTTATTTACTAAGGTGGTACAGTTTAAGTGTAGGCCCAGTTATACAGTTTTACAGAGCTAAAAGAATGTAGGTTAACTGAAAGAGATGGTATCTGAAATTGTTAGCTAAAAACTTTGAGTACCAAGCCCAATTCTTATCTTCCTGCTGCCCCTCCCTTGAAGATCTGCTTCTTTGCAGGGGTGGCTCGTATTCACTAAACTAAGTGATATGAGGTATTAAAACACTTGACCTACAAGGCCTCTGCTGTGTGCTTATTCAGGCCTGAACCACAGGGCTTGGGGTGCAGGCTCGGTGGTAGAGCTCAGGCTTAGGGTGAGGGTGGTCTTGGGTTCTGTCCTCAGCACCAAACCAAACCAAACAAACCCTGAATCCTTTCTTTTCTACATACTTTCTGTATTCTAACCACTCTTACCAGAACTTGCTATATAATTTTATTGTTAGGGCTTTTCTTGTGCCTGGAATTTTTCCTGTCTTCTATCTTTATTTGCCTTTCAAAAATTCTACCCATTCTTTTAAGGCCAAACGTCCCTTCTGCTGTGAATCCAGATGAGAATGTCCCCTCTTTGGAACTAGTGAAGCACTTATTAATACCTTCCTGTCAGACCTTGTCCTAACTGCTTTGTCTGAGAATGAGTATTTTAAGTGTTTTATCTCACAGAAGGCCAGATCTGCATCTTTCTCACTTCAGCCTTTACAGCACTTGAAAGAGTTTGAACTTTATATAATCCTGCAGTAAATATTTCTCGCTTAAATATAAAACCCCCAAGAAAATAGAAGATACTTTATAGTAGCAATTAACATATGCTTTATACAAGATATAGGGAGAACCTTAGTTTGGAGGGGCGGGGAGGGCAGTTGAGTGCTGTCTCCTTTGCATGTCTGACCATTCAGAGTTTCAGAACTCTTGCCACCTATCTAACTGTACCACCACTGTCTCATAGCTGTGTTAGTTTTTATCTTACTTTCCCCACCGTATAATGCCTTTGACAGTTGCTAATGAGGTGGAAATTCAGATGGGTTAATGTCTGGGTGTGATAATATGAAATTCCAGTTTCCTAAGGAGTGATTTTTTTTTCCTGTTACAGGCATGTAATGAATTTACCACACATGTGATGAACCTTCTCCGAGAACAGAGTAGAACACGTCCCATTTCCCCAAAAGAAATTGAAAGAATGGTGGGCATCATTCATCGAAAATTTAGTTCCATTCAGATGCAGCTCAAACAAAGCACTTGTGAAGCAGTTATGATTTTAAGATCAAGGTTCCTTGATGCCAGGTATGTGAGGCCATAAGTCTGTTGCATGGCTTCCCCCACCCCCACTCCTTGTATATTATTTTCTGTAAGACCGGCCAGTTGGTCTTAGGTTCTTTATTGATATGGCCGCATGAGCTCTTTGCACTAGGCAGTTATCTACCCCGTGAATCCTGTGCTGTTGAACAGCCTTTTGTTGTTTGGTGTGGGAGTAGTAATTCAAGTAGCAGCCAATTTAGTAACTCGGGAAATGGATCAGATTTGTACTGACGCCAGTGATTCTAGGAATATGTAGCCTTTCCATTCTGATGCTGAAAAGTATTTTTAACAGTGATTTTCTATGAAACTCTACTTTAACAAAGGTTTGTTTTTAAAGAATTTCTTAATATATATATTACTTATATATATTATGTGAAAATACTTGAGATACTAATGCTTCTAAGAAAGAAGTAGTTGTTAAATTAATAACAGTTGTCACAAAACCTTAAACTCTGTAAGCTCAAGTTAAAAGCCTATGTCCTGTAAGGATGAAAATTTCTCTTTGATCTGAAGTTGTCGCCAAGTTTCACAGGAGCTAGGTAATACATTGTTCATGGTAGTAAATTGTATAAGGTGACCTACTGAGTGACACAGAAGCATTGAAAAGATCCTGATATATACTGCCTCTGTAAGGATGGGTCTCAGCATTGCTAAAGCCAGCACTCAATCTTCAGCTTTGGGAAGGCATTTCTGTTTGTTTTTCTTTCTCCTCTTTAGAATCTGATGGCAATGGTTGTGCTCATCTAAATCTCTTAATATTAAAGAAAATACCTAAGAGAGTGTTTCAGCTAGAAAGCAAAGAACGTGGAAGTCGTGCCAGAATTCTTTTTCGGAGTCAACTAGCAGACATTTGCCACCTAGTTACACGGTTTCGTAGTTAAGCTAGTCTGTATTACTTTGGCTCCCTGCCCCTGCTGAGTTAGTGCTCACCAGTGCTTCATTTCAGTGCTTCTCGGATAGCACTCTCTCCTCATACTACAGTTGCTGTTCATTGCTTTGTGCCTGGACCACAACAGGACCCTCCTGGACTCCCTGGTCTCAGCGCACTCCCTCTAGTGCCTCCGCCTCACCCCTTCCTTATAACATACCGTGATACTCAATGCTGCGTTTTAAAACCATGGTAGCCTTTTGGGGTTGGGAGTATAGCTCGGTGGTAGAGTGCAGGCTTAGCATGTGCTAGGCTCTGGGCTCAATCTCCAGGACTAAAACAACAACAAGACTTTGACACTGCTGCACCACTCACATACACACCCTGTAACCTGGTATTTAATGCCCTTTATGACTTCTCCTTACCTGAATTACTTTTTTTGTTGTAAAGATTCTCAGTTTTTTTGTTTGTTTCTTTGCTTTGTTTTGTTTTTGGTAGTTGTTTGGTGGTGGGGATTAAACCTAGGACCTTGCATATACTAGGCAAGTGCTCTGCCCCAACTCTTAAATTACCCAGGCTGGCCTTGAACTTGTGATCCTCTTGTCTCAGCCTCTCGAGTAGCTGGGATTACAGATTTGCACTACCACATCTGGTTGCCTTAAGTTTTTTTTTTTTTTTCTATTTAAAAATACCAAGTTCATTATGAAAATTTGGAAAATGCATAGAAGAGTGAGGCAACCACATTTTTGCCCTGAAGAAAAAAATTATCACTGTAAATGTTTTAGTATATTTCCTTCTGTTTTTTCTTTGTTTGTTTGGAGTTTAAAAAAAAATGTTTCCATGGTGGTTCAATGTACAAAAATTTTTTTTTCTTTTTAAAAAAAATTTACAATGAATATGTAAATATTTTTTACTTAGTGTAAGTATTGTGGTATTGGGGATTGAACTCAGGGCCTTGTACTTGCTAAACAAGTACTGTACCACGTGAGCCACCACCCTGGTTCTTTTGCTTTTGGTTTGTTTTTTAGATAGGATCTCATGCTAACTTTGCCTACGCTGGCCTCCAAGTTTGATTCTCTTACCTCTGCCTCCTGAGTAGCTGGCATTACAGGTGTATACCACCAGACCCAGCTTATAAACTCTAGTTTTAAATAGTTTTAAATATTTTAATAGTTGAAGTTTATCAAGTGGATATATAATAAATAATCTACTTAGCATTAGCATATTTTTAGCATTTAAATTATTTCCATTATTTTCCTTTGTAGCTGCTTCCTTCCTTATGTCTGGCTTCCTTTTACAAATTCAGGTTAGAGTGGTTTTAATAAGGCAAGGTAATATCATTGCCCTGGTCGAGCTTATACTCTACTTGAGGAAACAGGCAATAACAAAGAAAGCAAATACATTACAGTGTTTTATATGATGGTGTAACAGAGTGATATGTGCTAGGAAGAAAAGTAAAGAAGGTAAGGGAGAGAAGATAGAAGGTAAATAGAATTTTGTTGAAACTAATGTTTCCATGAAAATCCTTTTGCATTGATCCTTTGACCTTTAGAATTATTTCCTAATGGCTAACTGCCAGAAATGGAATTATTAGATCTGAATTAGACACCCTTGCCTCCCTTTTCTTGAAGTTTTTTATGAATATTTCTTTTCTCCCCTAGTAAGGCATAGAATCATTGAAAGCTAGGCTTATACATTTGCATTCCCCATGATTATATCAGTGCTTTGCATGTAATCTGCTACAAAAATAATTTATTGATAGATTAATGACTAATTTTTCTTAATACTTTTAGCAAACAGTTAAAATCAGAATGAGTAGGGTGGTAGCATCAGAAAACAAAAATTAGGACTGTTGGCATGGCTCAAGTGTAGAGTACTTGCCAGCAAGTGTGAGGCCTTGAGTTCAAGCCCCAGAACCAACAAAAGAAAATTTATTAAAAATTTGTTTATCAAATGTAAGTATTATGTAGCAAAGATATTAAAAGTACATCTAAAAGGGGAGGAATTCTTCCTAATACAATTGCTGTCCTTGCTTCAGCTCATACTTTCCCCTTCTTGACAACATGAATGCTTATTTTTTTATATAACTGCATTCTTAATGTATACAACTAAATTATGTATTTTTCTTCCATGAAGAGAAGTATGTTAATGGCCTAGAGTGAGCAGAGCCAGAATGAGACAGTGGCAGAGCTTGGAGTAGAGTCCCTTCTCCTGCAGACTGCTGTTAAGTCACCTGTCCCTGTGATGCTTCTGGGACACAGCCCTGTGACTGATGTCCCACTGCACACTGGCCTGAGGCATTGCCAATTAGAGTGTGGAAACCATAAGGGGAGTACAACAGAGGAGAGATGCTTTATGCATGTTTTCTACAAGATGTTGTTTCTGAAAAGATAAACTATAAGATCATATTCTCTCTCTATGCTTTTAAGTGAATGTAGGTACTGAGCTCTGGTTCCATCGGTTCTTGTAGTGCCTGCTACCAAGCCCTCTGCACTGAGAAGGCAAGTTCATTCTATTCTAGGCAAATGTGCTCATTGAGATAGGTGATTCCTTTGCTCATTCTGCCTTTCTGGAAGGCCATGCTCATGTTTTCTTGATAATAGGACAAGTAATAGCATGTACCAGGGCAAAACATTTAAGAATAAATTTGTGTAGCTTGTTCTTCCAGTAGAAGTGTTGTAATTTGGACATAGCCAAAGTGTTTGGTGAGGTATTCTGTTCTGCCCCTAAGTTTGTCCTCTAAGGTTTTTTTGATGTGCTAAAACTTCCCCTAGGCAATATGTATGTGCCCAAGCTTCTCTTTGCTTTCCTAGATAGCTTTATTCTCATTCCTCATGTCACATGTTCCAGTTTCTCAAACAAATGCTTTTGTGCCATTTACTCCCATATACGCTGGGCCTTATTGCAAGTTGTATGTGGTAGACTTGGAGTCACAAACTCAATGCTTACATATAATGGAATTTGCCACAGTAGCTGGTTTTGGGGGTGTGGTAAGAGAGCAGGCAGGTGCGTATCTAAGAGAGTAGTTATCATTCAACTTTAGGCCTCCAATGATGGGGGCCTGGCATGGCCAATCTTCCAATTTTCATAAAAAGGCAGAAGTTACATATTTACGAGTAAGTTATTACTGTGTAGTCTCAACAGATAATGTCAGTGGTCTGAGTAATGCCTTCAGGTTTGACTCATTGAGTATCTGTTGTAGACCTTTCTGCCCACTATTCTTCCACCTGCTCAGGAGAGTGTCCCTCTTCAGTGTGCCTCCACCTCAGGGCTTTGTTTTTGAATCCTGAAGAATGCAAATTTCTTTCCCCTTTCTTCCCAATCTTCTTTCATCACCTTCTTCACCCAACTCATCTTCAAATCCTATTGATTTTAATCCCCAAATAACTCTTGAATCTCATCTTCATCCCCTAGGAAATAATAGTTTAACCTTCTAAAAATTATTGAAATTAAGAAACTCCAGGACTGAAACCTGATATGTTTTGATCAGACCTAGACTTCTGTTCCCTTGGCTCTCCCTGAGTGTTGAAATGTGGATTGCTTACTTAACCTGCCATGTTAGTGACATCATGGTAACAAGGAGACACTAGCACAGTACACTTTACAACTGTCTTTTCTGACTGTAGGAATCTCACAATTGAGGAAATTGTTAAGATTATTTGGAAGAAAGAATTAAGAAAATTGTCTAGGGAGGGTATTTTCCAGCCATAGAATATCTGTTTTACAGTGAAATCTGACAGATGCTAAGTTTCAGGTAGGAATTCTTTAAAATGATAATAACAACAAATGATATGTTACTACTTGAAATATGTTGTTAATAAATACTTGATCTTTTGATGCTCTGCCACCCCACTCCCAACAAAAACAAAAAAGTTTTCCTCTTCTCCTTTTTTCACTGTGAGGTATTCTTACCTTCCTTCTGTCTGCTTCACCCACCCTCCTCATCCAATCGATTATCAGGTCCTACTGCTTTTACCTTCCAAGTAGATCACCAGTCATTTCTGTGGCTCTCACCCTGTCTCTGGTTGTGATCATGTTCAGTTTGACCAGGCTGTCATTTCTTTAAATGGTCTTTGCATTTCCTTTTGTGTTCTCCTCCAACTTCTCAACAGTTAGAATGATCTTTTAAAAATAGGAAAGCTTAAAACCTTTTATAGTTTCCTATTGCACTTAGATTAAAATCCAAAAATTCTTATGGGGTCCACTAAGCCTCTGCCATCTGGCCTTTCCATCCTTCCAGACCTACTTCACACATTCCCCACCTTTTTCTGTATTCCAACCTCTTATAGCCCTTTAGACTCTTCTGTTTTAGTTCTTTTCTGTTCCAAGACCATCTCCTCTGCCTAGTCCTCTTCACATCTACTCTTTATCTAACTCCTATACATTTCCAGTCTCAGATGAAATACTGTTCCTTCAGGAAATCTTTCCTGACTCCATAATCTGGTTTCCATTTCCCATTAAACATTGTCATTATACCTCAGTCTTCTTCTTCACAATACTTGATATGGTCATCATGATTTGCGATTTTTTATTTCTGTGGTCCTTACCTATTGTTTTTCTTCTCTCTTCTTTCTACTCTCTCCCCTAGCTATCCAGTTGTAAGTAAGCTTTCTGGACCTTGTGTTTTTTCCATCCCTATAGATCGTCATTGAATACCTAGAACATATTAGGTTCTTGATAAATACTTGTTGAATAAATTAAAGAATGAAAATAATTGTGTAATTATGCTTCACATTCTAGTACTTTTCTTAGTGATACTATATCTTAAAATGTGTTGCATAGTGCTTTAGAGGATACCTAGAGCACAGTTTATAGTATCATAGTGATAGGTTAGAACCTAAGAATATTTTAAAATAGAAGTCTGCTTTTTTTGTATGATCCTAATCAATCTGTCCCTCTTAGGTTAATGCTGATTGTAACTGTGGTTCTTTTTTTTTTTTTTTTTTTTTTCATTCTTGTCATTAGACGGAAAAGGCGTAACTTCAGTAAACAGGCCACAGAAATCTTAAATGAATATTTTTACTCACACCTCAGTAATCCCTACCCCAGTGAAGAAGCCAAAGAGGAGCTGGCCAAGAAATGCAGCATCACAGTATCACAGGTGAGAGAGAACCCCATGGGTCTTTTCTGTTCTTTTCTGATGAAGGAAACCTTTTCCTTTCTTAGGGCTTCCTCATTCCAGTGTCATACCACATACTCCTTTGTCAAAGAAAATACAAAGAAAATCTAGATATATCCACATTTTTGTGCAGACTTTAAAGTTTAGATATTTAAAAAAAAAACAAAACCTAAGTGGTAAGGAATCAAGACTCTAGCCCCCTTCCATTCATTCCCCAGTATAAATCCTCAGTAGACAGGGTGTGAACTTGCCATGGGGAGAGACGCAGTTTACACTTAAGTAAGTCTGTAGTACACGACATGTAGTCCTGGTTCCCTGACTTAGATGACTGAACTAAGCTTCTCCAGTGAGAAACTAATTTATTTATTGCCAAAAGGAAATTGAAATTAATTCTTTGATAAAAACTTTGAGGAATTCACTAAGCCCCTTTTTGGTAACCATGTTATAATATTTGAGTCCCAAGGATTTCTTTGCTTTTTTTCTTGTTATTCATTAAACAGAAGAATTAAACTCGTGCCAGTTTTGTTTATTTTTTATGCCCATTTGTAACTATTTGTTGCCCTGAAGTTTGCTTAAATCTTCTAGCAACAATACAGACAGTTTTAGTCAAATGTAGTATTTAGAATTTATTGTAGATTTCAGTTACTTTAATAAGTATACAAATAACTGTACCTCCTTAAAATACAAGTACCATCAGAACTCGCATATTTATTGAAGAAAAATTGCACTTAGAGATGACATAAATATACAGGAAGATGTGCCTAGGTTAAATGGAAATACTATGTTATTTTATATTAGACTGATTTTGATGTCCCTTAGGCGGGTTCTGGAACCAGTTCCCCTGTGAATGCTGAGGGATGACTGTATATCTTTCTGACTTTAGCTCTAAAATAAAATTTTACCCAAATTTTTGTTTGTAGATTGATATCTGAACAGCATTTCCTTATGACATGTCAGTGTTAGCTTAACCAGCCAGTTCTTACATTGGAGCTTAAGGAAAAGCTGACCCCAGCAGAAATTTCAGCATTCCTTAGGGGTCAAATTATAAAAGTAGTGTCTAAATAAATGCTCCTGCTGCACTTGTGAAGCTCAAGTGACTAAAGATCTTCTTCAGAGTCCAGTGAGAATCTCAGATCAGTATCTTAAGTCATTGTTACTTAAGGGAAAACGAACTGGGGTTAAGATGATTTTTCAGCTCCTGTTTTGGCATTGTTTCCATCGAGCCTCTAGAGCAAACTTTGGTTTATAATTAAGATTTCATTTAAGGAATATTATCATTCTCTTATTAAATAGAGAATTTGCCCAGTTTCTTCATTCCTTTTGCCCAGTTTGAAATGGAATGTAATTGCTTTGGATTACCAGCTTACAAAGACATTGTAGAAAACAATACTTGCTGGGTTATATAGTACTTACTGCCACTTGAAATACTGAGTCAGGGAAGACAAAATCAGAAGTATATTAATTTCAATTTTTTTTTTCTGGGTAATGCATTTCTTCCAAACAGTAGGGAAAGGACTAGGCTTATGCTAAACACCAGGTCTGAATTTTCCTCTCTCATAACTGCCCTTTGACCTAGAAGCTGAATGTCTATAGATCTAATTTAAGGTATCTTTCTGCTTCTACTCTTTTTGTTTTTTGTCTTTTCTATAACATATATATATATATATATATGTTACATATATATGCCATTGGAGAATAACACAGATTATATTTTTTTCTTTTCTTTTTCTTTTCCTTTTTTTTTTTTTTTTCTGGCAGTAGCCAGAGCTCTGCGCTTACTACACAGGAGCTTGAACACTTGAGCCACACCCCATCCCCAGATTTTATTTTTCAAAAACCCTATAATGCGTTAGCTATAATATCTAGCACTTTGGGTATAGGGTAAGAAATGCTCAGTTTATACTTTTGGAATAAGTATGAGAAGGTTTCCTTGTGGTTCTTCAGAGTTAGGGATATTTACTTCTAAAATAGGCTAGGAATCTATTTTCCAAGTATTTTAAAAATTGTTAACGAATATATTCACATGTTTGCTTTTGGCTTTTTGTCTGTTTTGTGTACAATATGTCATCCAAGATATAACCTAAATCTAACCACTAGAAAACATCAATCGAACCCAAAGTGAGGAATGTTCTAGAAACGGAGTGTTATGCTTCAAAAGATACCAAAGAAAGGACACGGAAATTTTCCAGATTTTTAAGAGAGGCTAGAGAAACAACAAGTCAGTGCAACACCTGACCCCAGACTCAATCCTGTACCGGAGAGGGGAGCCATTAAGGACATTGTGGTTTCAATTTACTAAAGTAAACTGGAATTGATAATTGTACTATGGTTATGTGAGGGTATATTGCTCAATTTAGGAAATCCACACCGACTGACTTGGGGTTAAAGGGCCCCTATGGACATAACTTACCCTCAAATGTTTAGTGGGGGAGATGTGCGTGAGTATGCACAAAGATAAATCAAATGGGCAAAATGTTAATATGACGAGTGTGTGTAAGGGACATGCACAGAGATTCTTTATACAATTGTGTCATTGCAACTTTTTTTCACAAGTTTGGAATTATATCCCATAAACTGCAAAAAGGTATTTGCAAGGGTATAAGCAATAGAAGATTAAAATCCAACATATATAAGAAATGCCTATAAATTAATATAAAGACAATGCAGTCCCCAGCATTCCCTCCAGAAGACAACTCATTTGAAAAATAATCAAAAGGCTTAATCAAAGATTTCATAGAAGATACTTAAATGTTCAATTACATGCACATATCCTTACTCTTATTAGTTATCAGGAAAATTTAATTTAAAACTGCAATAAAATAGTGTTTTGCATTTCCTAGATGGGCAAAAAATCCTAAGTCTGACTATAGCAAGGGTTCTAAGATTATGCATAGCAGCAGATACCATTGTCTCTTGCTAGTAGGAATATAAATTGTGGTAGCCACTTTGGAAAACCTTGGGCATTGTTGTAAGTTTGAACATGACTATACCATTCATACTGAAATTTAGCCTCTAGATGAGATTGCCCTTGAAAACCTTTTGTCTGTATATCAAGACATCAAAAAATCGTTCATAATAACATTGTTTGAAATGGCTAAAAATGAAATAAGCAATTGTGCATTGGCTAGAAAAATGTGTAAATGCACTGGAATAATCCCATAAAGGACCACTATACAGCAGTGAAAGAGGAATGATTTCCAGCTATAAATGTCAATTCTAGTGAATCCTAGAAAAGACATTGAGCAAAAAAATGAAAATTACCTAATATATTGTGATACCATTTTTTGTGAAGTATGTTGGGACACATGTGAGTAAATATAATACCATAATTTGTTGATACAGTGCTAGAGATGGAAGAGGCATCAGTGACCTAAACAGGCAAAACTCTTGTCCTACCCAGTAAAAATGTATAGTATTCACAAGAACAAAGACTAGAAACAATGCAAATGTCCATCGCTAGGAAAATGGATAATAAGTGTGTATTTATGTTTGAACTATTATTCAACAATGAGGGTGAACAAACTACATGTATCTAAAGATACATAATGCTAAAGAAATAATGATTCTATTCATGAAAAGTTCAAAATCAGGAAAAATGAGCCATAGATGTTGGAACCTTTGTGAGAGTAGTGATTGAAAAGGGTCAAGAATGGTTCTTGATCTAAGTGTGTATATATATATATATATATATATATATATATATATATATATTAATTAAATATAATATATATATAAATATAATATATATATATAAATATAATATATATATTAATTAAATATAATATATATATAAATACATATTTTGTGGGGTACTTGAGCTTAGTTTGTACACAGATGCTCTTCTGCTCAACCCCTGTCTCCAGCTTAAGTGTGGGTTTCATGTGTGGGTTTGCTTCATGAAAATTCATCTAGCTCTGTGCTTATGATGCGTACTCCTTTTGGTATGTATATTTAAATATATTTACCTAACTAAAAAGTTTACATATGCCACCACAACAAACTTGCTGTTGAGCTTATGTAAGTTTTTATGAGAAAATACAGATAGGTAAGATATGTGACTGAGAGAGTAAGTTAGAAAATGATAGGTGCTGTGGAGAATAATAAAAGAGGGAGGAGCATAGGAGGTCAGGGGGTGCAGTGTTTAATATTGAGTGAAGAAAGCCCCTTCTGAGAAAGCAATTTTTGCTAAAGATCAAAAGAGATGAATGAACAACCCCTATGTATAACTGGCGAGGAATGTTTCAGGTACAGGGACAAGTATAGAAACTCTGAGCAGGGGCGAGAAGTAGGAGGTAGTCAAAGAGGCTGTGGTGTCCAGATTGGTGCCCAAGGCCGCCTAGGCTATGGGGATGACTTGGGCTTTTACTTTGAGCTAAGTGGTCATGGAGGAGTGACATAATCCAACCAGTTTGAACAGAATCACTTGTTAGTCAACCATGGGAGGTTAGGGGAAGCAGAAACAGCAGCCTCCAAACAATCACAGTAAGCCAGCCAAAGATGGTTGCTTCGACCAGAGGACTAGTGGTTAAAGTGATGAGCTGCGGCTGGATTCTGGATATATGTGAAAGTGTATCCCAATGGGTTCCCCTAGCAGTAGGATGCAAGATGTGAGGTCAGGGAGTCAAGGAGGACCAACATTTTTGGCCTGAGCAGTAGGAGGGTAGAGTTTCTGTTAAGTGTGATCAGGAAGGATTTGGGAGGAAGAGTAGGTTTTGGGGAGAAAGATTAGGAGTTTGGTTTTAGCCATATTAATATACACTATAATTCTTCAAGTTTACAGTATCTATAAATAGATATTATAAGTGAAAATTTGATAATTTATATTAGTCTTAAATTAATTGATGATAATATACTATAAATACATGTCCTTAATATAGAATTGCATGCAGAACCCAGAATTTGAAGTCTCTGATTTCTTAAGGCTCAGTTTGATTAAGCTGGAGTTCCCTTTTACATAACAACTTGAAAATTCACAAAAAAAT